GAGGGGCAGAGGGGCAGAATTCCCCCCTGCCCTCTGCCCACGCTGTGGGATCAGCCCAGGGCACGGGGGGTTCTGGGCTGGGTCATGTCCAGTCTCTCCCCCACCAGCACCCCCAGGGCCTTCTCCCAGGGCTGCTCCATCTGCTCATCCCCAGCCTGGATTGATCCCGGGGCTGTCCCAACTCCGGGGCAGCACCAGCACTTGGCCTTGTTGAACCTCCTGAGGTTACTGGGTAAGTTTTCTGCATCAGTGCTCCCTTCCCAAGGAAGATGCCAGACTGCCACGAGAAAATCTGCTGAGCAGACCCTGTTATGAGGGAGCTCTCACTGAGCACGAGTCATGCCAGCTTTGTATCTAACCTCACACCCTAAAAACACAGGAGGGGAGAAATGCATGGAAGGAACACTGTCAGCCTTTGCTCCCTGACTGGATTGCAGTTCCTTGTGGACCACTGGAACCTGGCAGGATCAGAACAAGTCCGAGTAGCAAAAGCAGAGTCAGCAGGAGCTCTGCACTGCCGGGGTGTGGCACAGAGACTGCCCTGTAGTTTCTAAAACATCAGGTGTCTCTTCATTAGTCCCATTGCTGCAGCTGGCAGGGGCTGTGGGTCAGTGCAGCACACAGGGAGCTTTCATGGATACCTGCTCTCCTCCCCCTGGGCCTCCAATTACTGCTTTTCACGGTAATGAAGCTTGTAATTTCTTCAGCCAAAATCCCTGAAACTGAGAGGCAGAGATCCTTAGCACAGATCCCTGTTCATCCCTGTTCCAGATTGAGCTCATCACACTCACATGTGCTACGAGGTAAATTAAACTGAACACCACCTCTTACATTTGGCACTCCTGAAAATCCAGCCAGCAAACAGCATGACCCAAAAGTAGGACAGCTTTTCTCTCCTGACCCTCTTCTCTTGCCCTGATTTTTCCATGCCTTCCAACCATCTCCTGCCCAAGATACCTACAGACACATGGAAAACACTCAGCCCTATCCCCCCTTTTCAGCTGGTTCAGAAGTTAAATAAAGCCCCTAAAAACTCCAGAATGGTTTAGCTCATTGGTTTTACTCCACTTGCTGATTTAGCCCTCAGTCTCCTCCCACACAGGCTGTCTGCTGTCGTCAATAAAAGCCATTTACTCTTTCCCTCCCCCAGGATATGTATCTTAATACTTAATGCATTCAAGATGTAAACTACTAACAGGCTGCTTTTATTTCCACATGGAGCTCTCTGTTATCTCCCTCAGTTCTCTACAAGAGAATTAGGACAGAAGGTAAAACCCACCCATATGCAAGGGAAGAGGAAAGCAGATTTTTTCCCTCATTATCAGCCAGGTTTTTTTCCTCTCACGTGGGCATTTGTGCTCTTCTGCTTGGCACATGCCTGGCAATGAGAAAATTAAAATCCAAAGCTCTGTACTACAGCAAGTTGTTTCTGAAGGCACCCTGAGGATTCTTTATTAGAGAGCTCACCAAATACAGCAATGAAAGGACTAAACCAGTTTCTGGGGAAGCCTGGGACTTACACAGATATAACTGTGGATGTGGCTGCAAACTGATATTCAGCTTGGCTGGCAAGACCAAATAAAAATCAAAGCACTCCTGCTTCTCTGGCAAGTGCTCATGATTAGGCCTCCAACTCATGCCATGTACTGAGGCAGAGGGTGTGAGAGAGCCCCTGGTCCTGCAGAACCTGCCCCTGGTGACAGTGTGATTGCCCCCCCAGCCCCAGGGTGGGCACTGCCCAGGGGGCAGCAGTTCAGCCCAGCACTGCAGGGGTGTGCTGTGCCATTAGCCTGTGTCACCCTGGATACACCAAACCATCAGCCTGTGCCACCCCACACTCACACTGCAGTACAGGCAGTTATTGAGTCGTGGCAGCACCATGAAAAGTGCCCCCAAGTTCCAGTGGAAAGGATTTAATCTGTTGTCCAACATCCACCCTGCAATTCTACACCCCAGGCTCCTTCCATTACTGAGCTCTTTGCCTAATGGCAACTATTGACCATGTGCTTTCTGCTTCACCCTGTCATTAATTATTGAGAAAAAACACCAAGTGTTCCAGCACAGCGAGAAAGGAAGAGAGGAGTATATGTAACAGGAAAGGAAAAATGGAATTTTGGGGAATAATGGAGATTCTTGTCAAACTTCTTCTAATCTGTAACTTAAGATAAATATAAACAAATTAAAAAAAAAATAACTCCTGTGAGATTCCAAGCAAAGGAGAAAGCCAAACACTGTGGGGCTATGAGTACAGAATTTGGCATAAAAGTGGAAAATAAAGCTTCTATCTAGTTTTATCAACAAGTGTTTCTTTCTCAGAGAGTTCAAAGCAAAAACGAACCAACCTGATGCTTTTCAAAGCCTTTCTCCAATGACACTTAAATATGGGCACAGGAGTTAGAAGTGCCATAAAGTCTGAAGTTCAGGACAAATTGTGAAGATGAAATCTGGAATATCAAAAAGAGCTTCTAAAATGCAGAGAACAGGCAACAGACTCTAAAGGAGGAAAAAAAAGATTTGGAAAGGTCCCAAGAATGATGAAGAGGTAATACACTGATGGGTTCTTAAGCACTGACTGGTAAGGGGTTAATGGAAGCAAAAAGATGGAATAAACAAGAGAGAACTCAGTTCTTGAGAGAGAAGAGAAAACTCAGGAAAATGAGCTTCAGCAACTGAGAGAAATAACCCAGCCCTGAATATCAAAACAAACAAAAGAAACAGAGGAGGAAAAGGTGGAATCTGCCTGCTTGGCTGAGACAACATAATGAAATTTCAAGTCAGGAACAAGCAGGAAAACAACAGCAGCAAAAGACAGCCAGAAAAACCAGGCATTTAGAAGAATAGGCTGATATTGCATGGAATGGCACAAGTGGGAAGCATCCATCAGAAATTAGGCCACAGAGTAGACATCCACCCCACAGACTGGGAAAAACACAGCTCCAAGCACATGCTGAGCACAGCACGTTCATTCCACAGCATAACAGCCTCTTGCCTGAGGTGGGAAAACCAAAATCCCACAGTAAGATTCTGGGGTAGAGTTGATTAGGAATACAAACAAGCAGAATTATTTAAGAAGCAAGAACTATGTAGGAATATACAACGTAACAGTGGCCTAGAAAAGACAACGACCCCAAAAAGTCCTACATAGGACTGATGGCACATTCCAGCAGAAGCTGAAAAAGGAGTTTAGAAAAGGAAATAGAGGTATTTGAGACAAATTGTGTGTGTGAAATAACAGTAACTCTAAACAATAGGAATGTGGAATAAATCAAGGGCTTTAATCATTATTATTGGCAACGAGGCTAACCACAGTCATCATATTGAGTTTTTAATTAAGAAATACCTATACCTCCCTTTAAGCATTAAGTCCCAAGTCATGAGCTACTTCCAAGGCCCAGGAAGGAACCTGTCTTGCACTGGGGCATTACTGTTTGACCTATTCTATTAGTGAGCATTGAAAACCCACAATTACACCCAGACCAACCACTCATAACACACCCAACAGCCTGGGCTGTGTTAGGGAATAGAACTGGGGAAGTTTTCCAGCAAAAAGAACTAATGAATCCAAGAGAAAGGGCCTGACAAAGCAGCACTTAACCCAGCAAAGCCCAGGCTCTGGCCAGATTCTCTTATTTGGGTTATGAAGTATGTGAATCTTGGGTCATAATTCCCACCCCAATGAGTTAAGTGCTCTAGAGACCTTGAACAAAGGAGATGTCACCATTTAATATTCCCATGTTCTCTTCTTGTTGGAGATAAAGCCACCTGACAGATGGATAAATCCCTCCTGTAAGCTTTGGGATTGCTGTGGGATGTACTTTAGCAGCACTACCCCACACAGACACCCACCACTCACGTTCAGATTCATGGAATCATCAAGTTTGGAAAAGACCTCTAGGATCATCCAGTCCAACATCTGACTGAATACCTCCATGCCCAGTAAACCATACCACAAAGGGCCACATCTATTCATTTTTTGAACACTTCCAGGGATGGGGACTCCACCCCTGCCCCGGGCAGCCCATGCCAGTGCCCGACCATCCAACCTAAACCTCCCCTGGCCATTTCCTCTCCCCCTGTCCCTTGTTCCCTGGGAGCAGAGCCCGACCCTCCCCAGCTCCCCCTCCTGTCAGGGAGTTGCAGAGCCAGAAGGTCCCCCCTGAGCCTCCAGGCTGAGCCCCCCCAGCTCCCTCAGCTGCTCCTGCTGCTCCAGCCCCTTCCCCAGCTCCGTTCCCTTCCCTGGACATGCTCCAGCCCCTCAAGGTCTCTCCTGTCATGAGGGGTCCAGAACTGCCCCCAGGACTTGAGGAGTGGCCTCACCAGTGCTCAGCACAGGGGGACAGTCACTGCCCTGCTCCTTCATTCAAAAGGGCCATAAAAAAAAAATCTAAAAAGTACTTTAAAAACAAAAAAATCAATACGTGTTTTAATGGCAGAACTCACTCATAGAAATGGGACTTGGAAATGGACAGGAAGCTGCAGTCTCTGTTGGCCTTGATGGTGAAGATCAGTGGCTCCCCAGTGAGCACGGCGAGCTGGCCCACGAGCTCCCCGGGGTGGGTTATGAAGAGACAAGTGTCCTCCTCAGAGTCAATCTTCCTCTGGTACACATGAAGCATCCCCGAGACCACAAAGCAAACATTAACATCCTGCAGCAAATGGAAAAAAAGAGCTCAATAAAATCCCCACAAGACTTTAAAAGCAATTATCACACTGACAGCGCTATCACGACCGATCTGTTTTTCAGAAAGCTCCCTATGGTTTTTTTGAACAATTAGGTGATAAAATAAGACACAATAGTGAATTATTAAAAGCTGGTTATGAATATTTAAAACTAAGCAGCCACAATATTGAAAAATGTGTTTCTCTTTGGGTGGTTATGAAAAATGAAGGCTGCATCTGCAAGATCTCAAGGAATAAGGACAGAATTGGGAGTGGAGGAGATAATGGGGAGTCACAGCAGCAGGATGAGGGGCATCAGGGGTCAGCAGAGCAGAACCCAGCAGTGCTGGAATTGGAGCTGCCTCTCATCTGCTTTGCATAAACTTATTTATTTACACAGTATTATCATAAAGCTCATTATATCCTAAATACTTTGCTATAAACAAGCAACACAATTGATGTTGGGGGGGAGTGGGGGGAGAAATACTTTACTGCAACTGAGTGACATCCCCAAAAGCCCTCAGTGCAGGGCATGAAAAAAGGCTTCCCAGACTTCACAGCTCCTGGGGAAGGACAGAGGTGGGATATTCCACCCCTTGTCATGAGGTACATCAGAGCTGACAACACAGACACCAGACTCCCACTCTGGCTCTGTGGGAAGGAGCCCTCTCTGAGGGCTGAGAGCCAGGGCTGTTCCACCTCCAGAAGTGACACCTTGGGAGGGGTCAGGTGGGATTTTTTTCTCTATCATCAATGTGGATAAATACTTCACAGAGGAGGGCAGGAACTGAGGCAGGTGCAGGTTCAGGTGGTGCTGACTCACCTGGTCCCCCTGCCTCGACAGCACGGTGCCAGCAGTGACCTGGTGCAGCGTCACCTTGCCGTTCAGCAATGCAGGATTCTGGGGAAAAAGGGGGTGGGAGACACAATTTACTGCTCTGTGCACAGGGAAAGATCCCAGAATGTGAGGAAGCATACAAATAAAGCAAGTAAGAGTAACTACTGAAGTTACTAAAGACAACGTTATAAGCGTTTGAATCTCTTCAAAATATGGCACATATTTTTGTATTTCTCTACCCAACAGATGTTTCTTCCAGAAGATCTCCACACAGTGATAGGGCTGCTGATGGAAAAAGCCCCAGAGAGACTAGAAAATCAGAAAAAAAGACAGAGAAGCCTAAAAGTGAAGAACAGGCTAATGAAAAAGATAAGGAGAGGGAGAAAAGCAAATAGAAGCACAGAGAACGAGAAAGAAGGTTTGATCCATTTCGATTGATCATATTTGAATTCTTAAGGATTTTCTATTTGTCAGTTTTTCCCTCTGACTCTTAATGATCTACAATGAAGAGATCTGTATCAACTGGCATGAAAATCATGAAATATGAAGTTACTTTCAAAGGAAGGTGAAACTAGAGGAGACTTTGTAAATCATCGAAGAACGGGACAAGAAGATGCAACTCCTGCTTTATCCCAGCCCTTCCCTGAGCACACAGCTCAGCTGAGCTGTACGTGGGGAGCAGATTTTCACACACACTGTGGAACAAAAGCTTCCTCAAGGTCTTGAATTCTTGTGTCCAGGCACATCTGGGTTGCAGAGAAGAGCTGGAATTTCCCTCCCAGCTGAAGAGCACGTGGGAAAGAGAGTCATTCCAGAGGGCACCCTCAGCTTGGACTCAACCCCAGCCCCTTGGAATGGTAAGGAGCTGAGCTGGCCGAGTGCAGCACCGGATCCAAAGATTCCCTTCCCACTCCAAAGCCAGTCACCAACATAAGTGGCACCTGAGTGCATAAGTAGCTCCCAGTTAACCCAGGTTTTGGGAAGGTGAATTTCTTTATCAGAATCCCAGGCTGGTTTAGATTGGAAGGGACCTTAAAGCTCATCTCCTTCTACCCCCTGCCACGGGCAGGGACACCTTCCACTAGCCCAGGGTGCTCCAACCCCAAATCCAACCTGGCCTTGGACACTTCCAGGGATCCAGGGGCAGCCACAGCTTCTCTGGGCAGCCTGTGCCAGGCCTCACCAAGCTTAATAAAGAATTTCTTCCTAATATCTGACCTAACCCTGCCCTCCTTCAGCTTAAGGCCATTCCCCCTTGTCCTATCACTCCATGCCCTTGTCCAAAGTCCCTCTCCAGCCTTCTTAAACCTTCAGAAGTTCAGCATTTTACCATCACCACCTGAATGGGCTGGGGCAGAAAACAAGGCTCAGTTACAGATTCTTGTGTTCTGCTGAAGCCTGACAGTGCAGTCCTGGCTCCCACAGTTTCTCTGTGTATTTACCTGTGCACAGGGCTTTGCCACACAGGCAGAAGCACTAAAAGCAAGAACTGCACTCACAGGAAGAACCAATTCAGCACAAGAGCAGAATCTGCCCACAGTCATTAACCTCACTGCAGCAGGAAACCAACAGAGCAGAGATGTAAACACTCCACACTCGTAATTGTTCTGCCAGGTTTGAATTTTGGGGTTGAAAAAAAATAGAGCAAGTGAAATAATCACAATTATTCTTTACACCTACTGCTGATAAAAAGAACATATTTTCATCAGAAAATAGTTTTATTGAAGCCCATCTGTTTCATGGGAACATACCCAATGCAGAGAACCTGACAAGCACCTGTCAAAATATTTCAGTTCAGCAACAGCAACTCAACTAATTTCTACGATTTTTTTCCTCTATTTATCTATTTATGGTTGTATAGTATTACCTAAAGACAAAGTTGTGACTCTGAAAGCACCCCTCAGTAAGGGAATACAAACTCCCTCATGAGCTCTACTTACCAACAGGATTTTGGGGCTGCACTGGGTCTAACAAAAATCATTGCAAAGATTTTCTTCATGTCTAAGGCTACTTAAGTATTGGAATAGATTGCACACTGAGCTGTGAAGCCTCATCACTGGAGATCTTTTAAGTACAGCTGAGCCAAAAACCTGCCAGAAATGACTTAGCAATATTTGATTCTGCCTCGGGCATGAGAAGAGCCTCACTGACCTCCAAGCAGACCTTGATATCTTCCTTTTCCCTGCTATTACCACCCCATTAAGCAATAAAAGAGCTGACAAACAAGATCTAGCCTGTCCAGCACCTTCTCTCTTGAATGGGTGAGCCCAGCAAGCCCACATTCAGCACTGCACAGTTGCAGGTTTTGTGGAAGTAGCTCTGCACTGATCCCCTCCAGCCACCAGCTTTTAGGAAAACAAGTCATTACCACAACAAACTCCATTTCCCAGCACGTTTCTTCCTTTGCATTGCTGTAACAAATGGTTGCAGCAGGAAACTGGACAAACCAGGGTACAGTATAAATTACAGTAACAAATATAACAAGTAGGGTTATTTTTGGATAACAAACTAGGAGGGTTTGTGACACAGAAGTGAAAATACAAACCACTTATAAACAATAAGCAAACCCAGTAATTAACTGGGGCAAATAACTCGTTTGTCAAAGGAAATTCCCTTATAACTCACACAGAAGAGATGCCCTGCAACACTGCTTAGTGTCATATCATAACTGCAGACAAAGCTGAAACCATGTAAAAATTGTATGAGATTGAAAACCACTTATGACAGATCCAAGGAATTCAAGTTATTTAAAACAAAAGAAAAAAAAAAAAGAAAATTTTAATTCTGAAGTAAGATACCTACAACAGTGCCTCTCTCCTACAGTCAGTTATCCCCTCCTTTCTCAAAGTATCATGAAAACAACCCAAACCCAAACAACCAAAATACCCCCAAACCTACCACCACCTGTCATCAAAACATCTTCATTTGATTCACTCTGGTTGGCTGCTCTATAAAATGACAATTAAAATGCTTCCAGCCAGCTAAGAAATAAAAGATCTCATTTTTTACCAGACCAGCTTACAGAATTAATTTTCTTCTTTTATGTAAGCAGTGTTGAACACAAATATTTTGCACACAGCAAGATTTTTCTTCCACTGCCTGTAAAAGAACTTTTACTATCGTGTCTGGAGAAAAAAATTAAACTTTCAATGAGATCTCTGGTATTTGGCTACATCCCATCAGATTCCAATTTGCTTGTGAAAAACTGTAAATTGCTATAATCCCCAAGTTTGAAAATCCTACTTTGTTTCATTGTTGTTGAGATCTTCATGTTACAAACACTGCCTATTAGGTGCTGCATTTCAAGGATACTGTTGCAATTAACTTTATCTCTCAACTGCTGCTTGTTAATTACTGAGAAATTTATTCTAGACTTAAAAAAAAAAAAAACAAAAGTGCTGTAATCATTTCAATGATCTTGGGATTTCTGCTCATTAATGATAGTTCTATCAAGAACAGGAAGTTGAGCAGAACAGATGAGGGGACCTGGTCCTGGTTCACTCCATCTGCAACAAGAATTCCTTCTAAAATAGTCTGTAGTCTTTCATGAGGATATAAATGCCTGAAAAAACCCTGGAAGTTACCATAAGACAGGTAAGTGTCCTGCAGACAGACCTCAGATCAGTGAGGATGGGGAGCCTCGAGTGTCCCAGCTGGGAGCTGAGACCGTGACAGGGATTCTGAAGTCACGAGGGCAATACCTTGGAAATCAGGAGGGAATGTTAAAATCCAAAAGTTAAACCTTTTTGAGTTCTACCAAGTGTAGTTTGATGACAGCTCTGGCAGCAGAGGAGGAGGTGCAGCAGCTGTGCCCAGCCCCTGGCAGCACCAGCAGAGTGGAGTTACTGCAGTACAGGCTGGAACAAGCCAGGGATGTCTGTGACTGACTGAGACAGATGCATAATTTTCCCAAACTGTCTGATTAGCTGCATGAACAGCCACAGCTCCATAATGGAATGCAGCTGGGATCACAGGAATGATGGAAACAATCATTTTCATCCCTTCTTCCAACATGAAGGGGCTCGGCAGGGGCTGAACTCGGGGGTGACTGGGAGGTCACCAGGCACAGGACCCAGCTGGGAAATGCTCCCAGTGCCACTGCCAAGTACAGAGACTCAACTCCAAAACCCAAACAAGCACTTGGATGCTGTGCCAAGAGCATTAATGGATTCAGCAATCACCTGAATGCCTTTACATAACTTCTTCACACTCACTATGTGAGAGCACAGAATTAGAAAGTGGCAGAAATTGCACATTTGCTGCTCACAGGGCTAAATCTGCACACAGTGAGAGAAGATTCATGCACTGCATTCCAGCGTGGTCTGTTCAAGTGGCAGAATAATTCAAATTTACTTCAGCCCATCTAATAACTTCAACAACTATTGAATAAAACATTCGGCTCGTCTACGGTACCGGGGAGACAATTTGCTTTTTGGTTCCTGGCAGAGTGAGATGAAATGCAAAAACAAAGCCAGTTCTCCCTGCAATAACTCACATCAAGTTTCATCAGGGTTGAGAGGTCCTTCTTTGCTGCTTCAACGATGGCATCAATATGTTTGGTGTTACAGGAGTCCTGCACTGCACTGTAATGGAAAACTGCTGAAGGAGTCTCTGTCACCGTCACAGTCTTCTTCAATATGGACTGCAAAGAGCAGAAACACAACAAGGATCATTTAAACATTAGAACTGGCACTTACCCAGCCAAAATGTGCCATATCATGTGTTCTCTCTACCCACCACAACTGGTGGTCTGCATAGGAGAAATCTAGGTTTCCAAAAAAGCAACAGCTTGCTAACTTCATTATCCCTGTATTTTTTTCTGACACTCGAGTCAAACAAAGTTACTCATCACAGCTTGTGAAAGGGAAAAACAAGAGACTTTTCAGAAACTGGGCAGCTTGATGGAACTAAAACTTAACCAACACAAAGATGGAGGAAACGAAAAAATGTCTGTCTGTCAAGGTCACAGTGAGCAACAATTTCACTTGAAAGTTTAGTCTGCAGTTTCATAATTCAAGAGCATTTTTGTGCTCTTGACTTCCAGGCCAGTATTCATAAAAATCAGACCACAAAAAGGAAAACAGATTTATAAACAGTGACTGGAGACCTCCAGGAAGTTCACAGGCTGATACAAGTTTTTAATTCCTTGCTGCAAAGTACCAATCACAAAAAAAGCGTGGTCTGACAAATCCACCTTTCCAAATGATTCATTTCATGAGTGAGGGGAAGGCAATACCTAAAAATCAAGAAGTTGCAGGGGTGCTTTCAGACTGCTCGCCAAGGGAATCTCCAGAGTTTCAAGATCTGCACTAAAAAGCTTTAACAGTCACCAAAATCTACTGAAACAACTATGAGTTAAAAAGTAATTATACAAAAAAACCATTCAAGGTCAGGTTGGATGGGGCTTGGAGCAACCTGGGCTAGTGGAAGGTGTCCCTGCCCGTGGCAGGGGGTGGTACTGGGTGAGTTTTAAGGTCCCTTCCAACCCAAACCAGTCTGACTCTGTAAGACCAAATATCCCAACTCCTACAGAGGTGCAAGGAAAGCGTTTCAAAGGCTGAAAACACTGGAATCACTCCAAGAATAATGATGTGCAAGGCAAGGAGCAGGGTGGACTCCCAGAGGATCAGACAGACCCACCTTGGCCGTGCTGGGGCTGCCAGCAGTGTCCTCTGGGCTCAGGTGCACCCGGGCCCTCTCGTAGGCCATGTCCATGTCAGACTTGGCACCGCTGCAATTATCTGAAAACAACGGGAAAGTCTTGGTTTAAGCACCTCCTTTATTACAGTTTCTCAGAAATAGCTGAAAACACACAAAGAGGAGCAACTTTAGCAAGAGGCATCTTCATGTTCTTGTTGATTCCCTCGTTGCCTTTGACCTGGAAGATCTGGTGGGAATTTTGTCTCTTGTCATCTGAACTCACTCATAGATCACCTCCCAAAATTCCCACACCCATTATTTTACAGGGTACAATCAGCATTTTGGGGTAGACAAAACAGAGCCATTCACATCTGATGATTTTCAGGAAGAGGCAAATCCACCAAACAGAATTTCCTTGTTGTTTTCAGGTAATGATTCTCTTTAACTTTTTATCCACCAAACAAAAGAAACTTTTTTGTACCCAATAAATTGCAAGACCTTTCATGGGGAAGAATATTATGATCAGCAACTTCTTAAAGTCTCTCCATACAAAGCATTTCTCCTTGAAGTCTAAATAATCTCAGATCCTGTCTACAACTTGTCCAAACTGTGGTGCTGAGAGTTCCCTAAGAAATTCCCTTACAGGGAATTTATTTAATTCATGAATTTGAAGTCACTACAACCTCTGTTCCTTACTTCCCAATTTAATACAGCTTAATTACATTAGCTCCTTGGCTGTCTCATCCACCTTCCAGGAACCCCTCTGAGCTAATCAATAATACAAACATAACGAGGAAACTCCTCCTATTTAATTAAATACCTTGAGCAGGATTCCCCCATATCAGTCTGAGGATTTACAGATGAGTTTAAGAGTCATTCAGAAATTGCAATTTCCATCAGCAAATAAACCTATAATAATTTCTATCATATTTCCATGCTCAATATGTTTCCAAAATAGATTATTAAGACTGTTTTCTCCCTTATGCCTTTTCCCTTCTGTCATTGTTCTTATACTTTTGCTTTTATAAGTACAAATTGCTGTTCAGGAGTAGGCTGGGCCTTTAGGAAAACCAACTGTCTTTCCTGACTGGTAATTTTTGTTACCCAATAAGTTCTGAGAGGGCTCAAATTTTTAATTTTCCTTCCCTATATCCCCCTCTCCAAACACTTTAGTTTTGCCCAGAGCTTTGGGAAGTTGGCTTTTGGAAACATGGAGCTGCCCTGTATTTAATAACTTGTGATATGTGATCATGTGAAAATACCACACCCCCCCATGAAGAGCTATCTATAAATTTAATTTGAAAACCACCATTCTTTTATTTCTGTAGGGGCTTGACTCCTATCTCCTCCCCAGCTGAGACAACGGGAGAATCCCACTGTCCCAAATATTCAGATCTACCTCAGAGTACTCTTTTTCATGCCATCTTGAGGAAACAGCCTCAAGTTGTGCCAGGGGAGGTTTAGATTAGATATTAGGAAAAATCTTTCCAGGGAAAGGGTTGCAAAGCCCTGGCACAGGCTGCCCAGGGCAGTGGTGGAGTCACAATCCCTGGCAGTGATCAAAAAACCTGTGGATGTGGCACTTGAGACCATGGGCTAGTGGTGAACATGGTGGTGCTGCTGGGTTAATGGTTGGACTTGATGAGCTTAGAGAGGTTTTTTCCAACCTTAACAATTCTATGATTCTGTGATGTACAAATGTGAACCAATCTTTGCATGCAGTAAATCCACATCTGCCACTGGGGTCATAACATCATTTGGTGATCAGCCTCCAAACAAGGAACCAAACAAGCTGACCCAAAGGTTATTATCAGCAGAACTTCCAAGCCATAAAATCAGAAAAAAAAACCCAGACAACCAAACAAACCAAAAAGCTGTTGATTTTATCAACTGAATTTCATTTTCACTGAGGCATTAAAGACCCTAAATCAGCTACAAACAAAAAAGCTGGGATAGCAGAACTAGCAGCTCCCTCTGGGCTGATCTGACTCCCTGTCAGTCACCTTGACCCCCCAGTCCCAGTGCCAGCAATTCCTGAGCCCCAATACACCAAGTGCATTCCCAACCTAAACACACACCTCTCATGTAAAACCCAAATAATCTGATAATGGGCACGTAGGCACGGAGAGCATCCTCTGCACATCAAAAACTCGGGGAGAGGAGAACGAGGAGGCATTCTAAGAATGAAAGCTTATGTCTACTAGACTTCTATTCAAAGCAGAGTCTTCATCTCAGTCGTAGGGATGAGCTGCCCACGCAGTGATTAATTAAACTGTCTTGCTGCTCAAACGGGAGTGGGAAAGGATCCGGCAGAACGAGCTTCAGCTGGAACCGTTGAGTCAAAGGAACAGAAGGCAGTGGGAAACAGGAGTGGAATGTGATCCTGTGTGAGGAACATGTGCTTGCTGGTATCCCACACACTGCTGGGATGGAAGTCACTGCAAAAACAATGGCAACTGGCAGCATTCCAGTGCCTCTTCCCTGCCAAGCACTCGCTCACTGAGCTACCTGCCCTGCCTGCTGCGGGTGGTCCCACAGGGCTTTGGGCTGGGAGGGAAGAGCAGCTTCTCTGAACACCTGAGAAGCAAAAAACAACAAACAAACCAATAAAAGACAGCTGCTATTTAACCTTAGAATAATAGTTAGGAAGACACACTCCCAGGAACAATAAATGGGTGAATTTATCATAGAAATGACCTTGCTGTTTTATTTCCTTCTTCTAATTCCTCTGTCCACCAGATGCTTCACATGAGCTAGTTCCATCTTTCTCCACAAAGGGTCAGTACACTTAAAAAGCAGAGTAGCCTGAGTTGGCAGGTTCCTATTCCCTCATCCACACAACTGCTATGCTTCAAGTTAGAGAACTGCACAAAACCCAGAAGAATAAATTAGACCCCAGCCCCAGGAGCAACTGAGGTAAAAGTGTTTCCCCCCAAAGGAATTTTTAGCAGCTTTTGTTAGTTCTGATGAGCCAAGCAAATCAAGGAGATGCTGAAATATCAGCACCTGTATCTCTCTAATACAGACAGTTCTCTCCTCTCTGAGTCAGTAATAAATATAATCAATATTCCATGGAGCCTGAACACACAGTAAGGCAGAGGAATAGAATCTGAAGCAAGATCCTGATCTTGTCATTACAGACATCATGACACTTTCTGTGCAAACTGAACAGTAACCTCAGTGCAGGGAGCAGAAACCAGCTCTGTTAACTGAGGCAAATCATAATTACCCCATTAGACATGCTCCTTCTGTCAGTAAAAATTAATTTTCTCTCTCTGCCAAGGTCAGTGTACACCAATATAACTCTTGTGACACACAAAAGGAGAAAGGGAGGACAAATGGACATATCCATGGGTAAGTTTGCAGGGATCCAGCTCCTAAGAACATGCAAGGACTGTCCCTTACAAGTGTCACAGGGCTGCACAGGCAGACCTCACTGAACTGCCCTGTGTTCAGGGTATTACCTAATTCACCACTGAATCAAGTCTGCTGGTATGTTTTTTAATGCATAGTGCAAAACAACCTCACACACAGGAAAATCAAGCCAAGCCCCATTTCAAGTCAAGTGATTTTTTTCCCCAGTTCAAAAAGATGAGGTACTGACCACTAGCCAAAAATCCCACTTCTCCATCACATCCATCCCTCTGGACAGTAACATGGAAGCTATGAAAAAAATCTAACTGGGAACCCTGTACACTTGCCCAGCAGGAACTGAAGAGGAAACAAATCAGCCCTCCAGTATGAAAAACAAAGGAATTCCCCATTCCCCTCCTCTCTGCACACCCCCAGCTTAAGGGATAGCAACAAATGGCACAAACCTTGCCCTGGGCAAAGCCCTCAGCACAGAGGGCTCCCTCAGCCTGTGTCCCTCCTTTCCCTTGTCTCCATACTCTTTAACCCCTCACAGAATGTTCTTATCTTCTAAACCATCTAATAACCAAGGTGAGCAACAAAAGTACCTTCTAAAGTACCCAGGGCACCTTTATTCCACTGATTAAACCTTTTATGAGTTCTCTATTAACATATCTAAGCATGACCTCCCAACTCCCTCACAAGGGTTGGTTTGGCACTCAGCTAACACAGACAGATGTCTTCCCCCTGTGATTCCCACAAGTCCAGTTTCCCCACCTTGGTGAACAAAGCTGTCCTGAACACCTGGCCCAGAGGAAGATGCCTACAGTGGAGATGACTGAAATTGCCCTAAATACTGATACTGCAGCATCAAACCAGCTCTGCCTCATAAATGTCTCCTCACAGCCTCCAGTGATCCATCACCTTTATTATCCACTCAAAAAAAAACATTCCCAAATGTTTTTGGGAAACAAAGCCATGTGTAATGTGCTTTTTGGGACAATGAGCCAAGCAAGAATCGTGTGTCATCTTTTGTATGAAAGATGATGGCATATCATCATAACTCACTTTGTTTCAGTTATACCAATTAATAAAGCTCTTCATTTGCAGGCATTGGTAGCCAAATTACTGCATGTTCCCCATTGCTAATAATGACAGCAAGGGAATGCTCTCTTGGATAATAGTCCACTTGTTACTCACTAAATAAATTTTTGACAAATGAGTTAGGAAGCAGCACTACTGCAAAATGATTATCTACCACAAACAGGTCTGCAAGATGATTATCTATCATAAACAGGAAGATTATCTACCCCAGCACTCCAGAGATCATGTGGTTTCCCCCCAAATGATTAGACAAATTATATATTTCCCACAATTTTGCCAAGCACTACTTACTAGAAGCCTCTGCAGACCCTGCATAGGGAGGTGATGAAAGGCTTCTCCTGAAAATATGCTCTGTGTTTTCTGCACCAGAAATCTTCAACGTATCTGGAGTTTAGAAACAAAAATTGCACAAATGTAAAAGCAAGGTAACCTCAAATAAAATAAATTTGAGCACTGACAGCAAGAACCTCTCACTACCCACTGTGTTAAAAGTTTTGAAGCATTAATGTTAAACATCGTTTAAAACTGTTCCCGGTTTTCATTTAATTAAGGGGATTTTTTCCAGGTGCAGAGGCAAAATTCAACTCTATTTTCCTGGGTTTACCTTCAGTACTGACATTTGAGCCTGATAAGGCACATATCCAGCAATTCTTCTGCTGGTATCTAGACTCACAGTTTTCCCAGCTCCTCCTATGCATTCGAAATTAGGAGTCAGTTTTTTCCTCCTCCCCCTCATCCCTAAAAGTAATTAAAAAGATAGTACTAATTCCCCTTTGAAGCTAAGGGCCATCCAAAGGCTTCAAAACCAAAACTCATCTAAGGCAATTCCTAATTAATAAAATAAAAATCCTCTGATCAATAGCAGTGATATCAAGTCAATCAAATCAATAGGACAAGGGGGAAAGGCTTTAAGCTGAAGGAGGGCAGGGTTAGATGGGATATTGAGAAGGAATTCTTCCCTGTGAGGGTGGGGAGGCCTTGGCACAGGTTGCCCAGAGAAGCTGTGGCTGCTCCAGCCCTGGAAGTGTTCCAGGCCAGGTTGGATTTGGGGCTGAAGCAACCTGGGCTAGTGGAAGGTGTCCCTGCCCATGGCAGGGGGTGAGACTGGATGAGCCTTAAGGTCCCTTCCAACCCAAACCAGCCTGGGATTCTGTGATTAGCACAACAATTAAAGAAGGTCACAAAAGCTACTCCATGTTTCCAGAAACATTACCCATTTCCAGTCCTTCCCCAGATCTTTCAAACTTCTCTCCACGATCCTCCTCCAGTGCACTGGACACTGGTCTTTTCCCAGCTTTGCTGCTGCTTCCTCCAGCTGTGACACTGGTCACGGACACCAGTGGGATGGCCTGGCTCTGCTGAAGGAGCAAGGGGAGAAGGAAACATAAACCACACACTCACTCCTGTCCCACAGGCCTGGAGCCTGCTCTGACCCCCAGGGACTGCTCCCAGTTGTGGTGATCAACCAAAGATCACCAGGGGTGACTTGTCATGGGATCCACCAGCTCCCTCATCCATCCCATCAGGGGCTGGGCACTCAAAACTGGCCAGTTTGATTAACTATTCCCTGACCTTGTCACAAAAAAAGGGGAAATAACCTCTCCAACCAGTTTGTTGGGTTAGAAAGCCATTATTTTAAATTATATTAGGCATTACTTAGAGCACTGGGTGCATGGGGGATCTCTGCACCTCAAATGCACACCCAGTAACCAAACAGACCAGGTTATAGATATGAAATGAACACATAATCATTACACATCCATCACATCTCCAGAATACATACACATATGCCAACTACTTCTGTGAACTTATTTGGATATGAGTAGGGGTGTTTTGAAGGTCTCTGTCATTTGGGGAACACCCCATTCCCCAAACTATCCCTCTGTGGTCCCAGATATCCCAATGAATCTCTTCTTGAAAGTATCTCAACTACATGGTCCAGTCATGTTGCACTTTTCTCACTGCCTTTGCTCCAACACACAGCCTTTGTTCTCAGAACTAAGACATCTGCTGGTACATATTAATCACTGCTATAGGCACTAAGCACTATCTGGTACAAGACTAAGCATTAATCATGGATACAGGGACCAAGCACTATTTTGCTAAAGTTACAAGAATTTCCCAACATCTTCCCCCGCTGCTGCACGGCCTCCTTTTTAAAGAGATTTAACTTGTTTGGTCAGAACCTGACCCTCTGCCACCACAGGGACAGCATTTTTCACACTGCTATAGGCAGAGGTGACCAGGAACCATTAACAAATGTCAGGACTGCTGGAGCACAGAGCAGAGCACATCCATCACTTTGGAGCCATGCCCTTTGGACACTGAAGCCTCCCAATAATTCCCCAGGCGTCGGCGTGGGCTGGGTTTTATGGGCTGGTTGTACAAGTACCTCACTTCTCAAGTACTGTCATTAGGAATTTAATATGTAGCATTTGCTTTACAACCTTCTGGAAGGAGGAGAACCTCCCTGTGCCCAGTCAGAGCTGAGGGACAGCCCCCCAAACTCACACAGCTGAAGAGCTCCGTGGTCAGACCCAGGTAGTTGTGCAAAGCCAGGAATGTCACCCTCTGCAGCCTCACCATGATGATCTGCAAACAGGAAGCATCAAGAATGGATTCAGCATTCTCCCACACTTGTTCTGGCATTTAGATACAACCATGTACCACAGTACCTGAAAGCACTTTATAAAACACAGACTGCACCCTAAGCTGAAATTCCTTTTCAGCAGTTGACAAACTGAGATAAGAGACAGAGCAAAGTGATTTACAATGACTTCACAATCATTTGATGGAACAAGAATCCAAAGCCTCACTCACAAACACCAAATGCTTTTTGCTTTCTGTAAACATCAGTAATAGACGTCCTTTGAAATAAAAGGTTTTGCTTCCAATTTTCCCCTCTCATTAAAAAAATTAATCCATCTTTCCCCAGTCAGAACCTGAGCCACTGCTCCACAAGCACTCAAACCTAACCCAGAACATCAGTGCCACCTGACCTTCCTCTGCCCTGCCAGATAATTCCCACTCCTAAGCCATCCTGTCTTTTGTACCAGCTCTCCCAGAGTAAATTAAGTTGGTGTTAATGATCTGTTCCTCTCAACCATCAGGACGAGGAGGTTCAGGTGTCACTCATAAATCATCCAGATACCAGAACAGTTTGCAAGGACAAAAAGATTTAGCAGTGATAGTAAAACAAAAGGACAGCCCAGAGTGACTCATCAGACACTGCACCCTTTGGCTGCTACACCTGAGGGATGAGGCAAACTGGAATCCTTCATTCCTGATCCTTGCACCACCTCCCACCTGCAGGAGGGACAAGCCAAACTTCAGTGCTCACCTGAGAACAGTCTGAGCTTCTGCAAAGCAGGGGAAGGTGAACTCTAAGCTAATCCAAAGCACAGCTCTTTCCTCAGGTGCTGACAGACACTTCTGAAGTGGAAATTCACATATCCATCCGAATTTTGTGAATTTTCCAAAGCATCACCCCTCACCAAACAGCTTCTAAGGGTCCAACAGTCCTGTTTCAGAACATGTGACAGTCTGCTCATGATCCTAAGCCATTCTGAAGCACTGCTGGTGCTCACCGAGGTGCAGAGCCCACACCAGCACCTTCTCCTCAAGGACCAACAAGCTCACAGTGCAGGTCAGGCTGATCAAAGAGGCTACCACAGGCAGAAACTCAATTAATGAAGAGATATATATATAAATTATTTCTTCCTGTATGTGGTAGTGCTGGGATTATTAAGTCTAGGGCTTTAACAACTAGGGGAATAGCAGGATATATTCCAGATCTTGAGCAGTTCCATACCTGCCAAAGGATGATGAACTTGCTGAACCTCTAAATGCCTTCCCTGTAACTTTGAAATACGAGTGATTCCCCCTTCCCCCTCAGTTCTACCTACCTGTACCACTCTCACCAGAGTTTCAGGGTATTTCTGGAACACATCTTGGAAGGCACTTGCTGGGAGTCTCAGAATTGTGGATGGAGTGGCTGCTCGGGCTGAGACTGTTTTGTAGGGAGCAGGGTGGCCCTGATGGAAAGTTCCAGAGGCACAAGATTAATCCACCAACCATCCAACTCAAACCTCCCCAAATTCCTGCTTTGCTGCTCTGTATGTCTGGCAGACATCATCTGACCACAGAAAGCCTTGAACTTGTGCTCCATGACCCACGGGTGGAGTAATGAGAGCGAACTCACACCAGCAGTTCCATCAGAATTAAACAGAGACAGAGGCAGAGAAACAAGAGCTACAAGGAGGTGGATCAGGTTAAGGGTCTGTCAGCTCTGCCACAGTCATTACAGGCAGAGCCAGGCTTCAGGAGCACTTCAAATTCCAGCTGAAGAGAACAGAGGGTTTGCTGATTTTATTATTTGTACTGACAGCCAAGCTATTTGCTGCAAAAACAAGCCCAGACTCACACAATCAGTACAAAATACAACAAAATTGTACAGTAATTACATACATAATGGAGTGAGACAAAAACCAGGCAGACTTCTTGTGTTTCAAGATACATGTGTCTTCATATATATATATATATATATATGAAATATTCCACGTGACAAAGCCAAACAGCTTCTCTTTACTTAAGACCAAGTGGGTCTAGAACATCTTGCTCAAAGAACAGATTGAGAATTAACAAACCAATGAAAAATAAAACTGCAAGTGGGCAGAATATAGAGATTTTTTTACACTGGAAGGCAAGCCTCTGGTTTAGGATTTTTCCCCTTGAATCACAATAGAGTTTTAACAAAAATCTATTGCCAAACACTTGGACAAAAAACTCCAGACAGCACCCCTTCTAAAATGTAATGCTGGAAATAACATCTATAAGTCATGAATTAATTCACTAATACATCAGATACTGATCTACCCCATATTTCTAAGATAAAATGAGCCCTTTTACAGCACAGAGAAGGAGCAAAGGAAGAAATGGAGTTTCTGCTTTAACAGTCACCTCACAGCTTTCCCCCTCCTGAACAGCAGCAGGGAAATAATCAGCATTTAATATCTAATATTAAATGCTGATTATAAAGGAAACAACTCCCAAGTCTTCCAGAGCACCAGACAACTCCACACAATCACTGGGAAGGAATTCCTGCCTAAAGAACCCAGCAAAACCAAACAAGAGACTTTCTGCACCACAATAATCACTCTGGAAAATAAAGCTGCAGCTCTGTCTGCTGGTCTGCAAGGCACCATGAAGTAGGTTCTAAAATTAAATTACGTTAATTGGAACCAATTTCTTAATTACACAAACTTCAGCTGACCTTTTTATACAATCTGGGGATGAAATTAATAGCTTTGATTTTCAAGTTCCTGAGGGATTGGAAATTTTAAACATCTCTTTGACCTACAGGGCAAAGTTACCAGTGTCCCCAGTTTTCTTAAGTTTCTTTTAATTAGGTAAAGAAATTAACCAAAATTAACAAAAATAAATGCAACAATCCACTTTTACAAGCCAGTTTAAAGTCTGCCTTCAGATAAAGAATTACTTTGGAATTCTTATACTTAAATGCAATAGAAAATGTATATAAGTCTGGTTTTAAGTGCATGGATCACTGAATTTGCCATCAATTGTATTTCCTACCAATCTCTACATCAAATATATAGTGAAAAGTAAGGAAATCTAGTAAATCTTTAATTGCTGAACAAGGATAAACACCAGGTTTAATAGTCCTCCATAACAGTTATTCCCAAGAGCCAAATAAGCCCTGTTTATACAGTCATGTGGTCTCCAGTCTGCCCAGTAAAGTGTCTGGGTTTTTTCTTGTGCCTGTGAGAGGAGAGGCCAGCCCTGAGAGTGTCAGAAAACCAGTTTTAGGATAATAATGGATAATGATGCAGCAGCCTTTTCCTCCAAAGAACAGCCCAATCCTCCAGGTTTTCAGCATATAATTTTGCCTTTTTGATATCCCTGCATGAGAGCAGCTCTGTTCTGAAAGGGCCAACACCACAGCTAATGGGTTTGGAACATGCTAAAAGCTGTGAGAGGAGCTCGAGGAGGAAATGTTCTGTAATTGTCAGTTCTCTCAGAAACAAAATAATCAGCAGCACAGGGAGAATACCAGGTTTAAATTATACTGTTTTGCAATCCCACACTCAGATGACAGGAACAGTTAAGTTATAATCAGGAGTGAAACAGGGTTTTTTGAAAAGAACTTTTTGTTCTCAGGGCAGGTAACTATTTACTTGTTCCAAGAACTGTAAGATGTCACCTACAAGCAGCAGCCAAATCCAAATGACAGCTAATGGCCAAATCCAAATGAATTTGGTTAAGAAATATGCCACAAGAGATACAGGTGCTTTGCATTCTGCCACCTGCAGTGGTAACTCCTTTTTGTACCCAAAAATCTGGCATATTCTCCCTCTTTCCATTGCCTGGGATTTGTCTTCCTCCCCTCCTACCTGACACCCTCCTCACTGCGTGACACTGCTGCACCCAAAGCTCTTGCAGCAATCAATCTCTTCTTTATAACCTCATCCATCTTGCCCAGTGCCACTTAAACAGACCTGAGCCCTGCAGGCTCACCTTTATCCAAGTGTTTTTTCAGCTTCTTTTAATCCTGACTTTCATTTTCCCCCCCTCAGTCACTGCCAGTTGATCAATATTCCTCACAGCCTCTTCTTTTTCATTCCTGCTCCCAGTTTTCCTAATACCCACTCCACAAGGAGGACAAAAGAAGAGTCAACCCCAAAGCTCCAGAAATCAGCATCACAAGCCATCTCTGCTGGTCCCATTTAACTCTGGATGAACATCCACTGTCCAGGGAAAAGCTCTGGCTGCACACACGAGCTCTCAGCAACAGCTGCTGAAAACACTTCGTGGACACCAACAATGCTCAGCTCAGAGACTTCTTGAATATTTGGGGCAGCATCAATTCAGAGTCAGATTAACTACACCTCAGAATTGTTCCAGAATACCAGGAAAGGGCCTGTACCTACTTGGATTCAGAAGCTTCCAGCTTCTCCTTCAAGTTTAGAGAAATCAGCATCGATCTGTTCTCAGAATAAGTGAAGTCTCATGTCACAGCTGGTACCTTTGTATTTAGTAGATCTAAAGGGACTTTCCAATTTAAAAACTGAAAGATTAAACTAGAAAAGTGCCTCTTGTGTGACCTTTCTTTTAGATCCAACAACAAGAGCTCTTGCAGCAACCTCAACTTTCTCACAAAGCTCTCAGCTAAGGGAGGGACCAGCCTGACATCATGTGCTACAAAATCAGCTGAAAGAATCCCAAATTTAGATAAGGCAACTGAAATCCTCTCTGAACACACCCTTTCTTCATCTCAGAGCCTTGTGCTGGGTGACAATTAAGGTTATGGTATCTGCAGGAAGTTCTAACTCACTGATTTGGAATGACACTGAAGAGTCTCCTCTACTTTGATCAACTTCCTCACTCCTTGCACATTTTCATGCTTCTCCCATAGCCAAAGCCAGCAAGGGACATAAGGAAGAGGAGAAACAGAAATAAACCAGGCAGTTACATTTCCCACAAAGCTGGGAAATGAGGAACAAAAGAGTTGTAAAAATAAATGAGAACGAGTTTAGCAAAAAAAAAAACTGCAAGGTTTTTTCATTCCATGTTCTTCTCCACGCTGCTAACTCTGTTCAAGACACTTTCAATCATTTTTATTTTTTTATTTACCAGTGGTATAACTAATGAGAAAGAGGAAAAAAATCATAGAATGAGAATTAAAAACCAAAAAAGATCCTAACACAACACAAAATGAATGGCAACACTCTTAAAAAAACCAAAGCCACAAGACACTGTTATACAAGAAGGATTTCTTTTCCTATATTCCTTTATAAAGCAAGAACATGACTAGTATTAATGTTCCTATATGATGGTTCTGCTCTTTAGAATATTGTCATTAAAAAAATTTAGTGGTGGAAGTAACAAGGAGAAAGGTACTAATACGAATTTACAAATATATTAATATGAATTTGACAGCAAGAACTAGACTTGTACAGTCCAAATTATTCATATGCCATTACTTTCTACAGAAAAAAAGCGTGACCAAGCTTAAAAAAAGTATCCCTGTCAATAGGTTTTATGGGAACTATAAATACAGATATACAGATGCATGTTTGCATTTAAAATGGCAAAGAACACTTTAGAGAATCCTTAAACTACTTAATGGTACCTTTTGATGAACAGAGACAGCCAAGCACAACAGAAACATGATACAAGGTCAAACATGAATACAGATTTGATTATCTTCATCCTCTCAACTACTAAAATCCTTCAAGAAAGCACATTCAGTGCTTGAGTATCATCAAAGATGATGAATTCAACACCTTCCATTCAGGTATTCCAAAATAGCTGTGCTGGGATGATTTCAGCAAAACCATCAGTGTAATTCCAACTGAAACAAACCCCACCAATCTGTACATCAAATATGACCCCCAAGCATTCAGCTCATCCTGTCCCCTGCCAAGGAGCACAACCCTCAGCTGGTCACCAGTACCACCAATGTTGGAAAATAAATCAATCCATCAACTGTTTTCACGGTATAATCACAGTAATAGCAGCTGTCAGGTTTATTTTCTTTAGATTAAATAAAAATAAATTCAGTAAGCAACAAGTCAAACACTCAGGCACATGGTGTGACTCTTGGGGCTGGTCTGCAGGGCTAAGGGTTGCACTCAGTGGTCCTTGGGAGTCCCTTCCAACCCAGCATATTCTGGGATTCCGTGAAACAGTGTAAAAGCCTGGAATTCTGGGCCCCAACCTGCTCCTGCTCCTGACTTGAGTTGTGCCCTCGAGCAAATCAAACCCTGTCTCAGACTTCCAGACACAAAGGAATAATCCAAATCCTGCTGCTGATCAGGAACAGCCAGAGTTACACTGCCAAGCACACGACTCACAACCACCTTACACCCCCCAGAGCTCACTCTACACCTGGGAAGGCCTGGGAGGAGGAGAAGAGTTAATCAAAAAACCACTTTGCATCCTGAGTCCTTCCCAGGAATATTCAACTCCTGCTGCCCCTGCCAGGCTCTGGCACCCAGCAGCACTGCAGGAACCCTGCAGCTCCCAGGACTCACCGTGATGACGTCGAGGATGCTGAGAAGGCTGTGGACACTGTCTCCTGCCAGCACCTCCTTCACCACCACCTCTGTTCCATCCTGCAGGCACAGACACACCATCACTGCAGGCTCACAGCTGCATTTGGGCAAATTTGGAGCATTTCAGAAAGCTTAACTTGCTCCCAATCCTCCCACACACTCTGAGCAGCTCCCATTCCAGGTTCCCCATTGGGACTTGGATGCTTCTTTTGTCTCTGCTCTGATGGAAATGTGCTCATTCCAACCACAGGGCTTCAAACCACCATTCTAAAAGTGATAAATTAAAAGCAACTAAAAGCCAGCTTTGTCTGGGGGGAGTTGGACCTGCTTGTCTTTGCTTTGTAACCACCAACAAAACAAAGCTCCCTTCACTCTGAGGCAGAATCAGCCTCCTTTATCGAGGGGTTTCATGTCAGGAACAGAAAAATGTAAAATTATACAGAAATCATCACATTTGGTATAATTTCCAAACATGAGTCCCCTGCATTTTCAGCCAGAAACCTGTTCACAACCTAAAGATAAACTCAATGTTCAGTCAGGAAGAAGAAAAATACTAAAAATCAAACTTGGTAGAAAGGATCACAAGGGCTGGCACTCAACATTTTAAGACTCACCCATGAAACAAACCATCATTTCTTTTCCCTCTCTACCCAAAAGTGAATCTGACTCTTCCACCTCCCAGGTAAAACCCAGTAACTCCCATTAGAATATTCTGAAGTGAGCGAGGTCTCTCCTGCTCTCTGTGCCCACCTACTTTCTATAATGACCACCCCAAAAGGGAATGTTTCCAAGCCCACCTTGCACCCTGTCCTCCCTCAATAACTATGTGTGAGGATATTTCAAGGTGCCCCATCAGCACTGTGTCCTTCTCTCTCATCTGAGACACGAGGGACCAGAGCTACAAACCTCGATCTTTATGAACACCACGGTCCCGAAGAGTTGGGAGTGATCCCTTCTAAATCACTATGACTCACAGGCCTAAGTCTAATCAATGCTTAATGATTCATGCCAGGCTCTATGCTATGCCAACAAATGTATCTTAAAAACTGCAGATCAGTTGGTTCTTACACTTTCCTGGATGCAAACTTCCAGCTTCCCATCCTGCACGACGTAGATGCTGTTGTCCAGCTGCCCGGGACGGAAGATGTACTCGCCCTCGTGCAGCTGCACGAAGAACATGTGCTTGCACAGCTCCAGGAACAGAGGCTTCTCAAAGTGCCCAAGGACCCTGCAGCAAAGAAAACGCAGAGGGAAACCCAAAATCACCAGTGCCCTTGGAAAATCCTTCCTAAATTAGCAAAGCACGATTAACGGAGGAAGCCCCGAGGGGCTGCTGCGGGGGCAGAAGGAGCAGAGCTCCCCAGAACAGAGGTGCAAGAGCACTGTGAAACACTGAGACTGTGAATACTGGGGTTCCTTTGGAGAAGAACTCCAAGGAATGCCAGCAAGCTCAGCAGGAAGTGCAGCCAGCCTTCTTCCAGCAAACACCAGCACGGCTTCCGAAGGAGAAGGAATTTAAAACCCTGCAGGATTCACACACTGCAGGAGAAAAGTTACTCCATGGAACTCTCCCTTTTAGTGCAGCTGCCCTGTCCATGGGACCAGGACACAGGAGAAACATTGAAAATATAGGGAAAAATTCTTGTCATCTGCACACACTTTAAATTTGGAATATTCCATCTCCTGCAGGTAACGTGCACCTGGACTCCTCCAGTACTGAAAATAGCCAGTGACTACCAGGCAGACAGAAATACAGGTCTTAAACCTGATCACTCTGTTACAGAGCTCCATCAGCTCACATTTATCAGGATTAATCCATTAAATTCTACTGCAACATCAATTAGTCATAGGAGATCATAATTCCACCAGATGACTTAAATAGCATTTTTATTCAAGAATGTATGACCTTCAGGAATTAATTATATCATATCTGGGAGAAAAAATGAACATCCACAAAAAAAACCAAAATTACAGATGGGAAGATCTGAAACTCTTGGCTGTGTCAGCAAATTTAACCTCTTGCTGAAGGGGCACAAAGACCAACCCTTCTTCTTAATCTGCCCAAGAGCCCTGGGGATTAACCTGACTTTGATTTGATTTGCAACCTTTTCAGTCAGAGAAGTGAAAGATTCTGCAGCTTAGAGAGCTGTCAATATGGTATCCAATTAACATTTACCAATTATGATGCTTTTCTGTACCAAAAAATTGTCAGATAGAGCCTAAAGAGAAGTTTTAAAATGCACTACATTTGTTCATGTTAGAGCAACTCCATTATCACTATCCCCAAATTCAGGCCACTAATCTACATCCTTTCCCCCCCCCTCATTTTTTATTTTTAAATCAAACTCCATTATTTTCTTAACATTTCTAGAAAATTCAAAGTCCTTTATTCTGTCCTCATGCTCAGATGAATTTCAGTCAACTCCTTCAAGATTCTGACCCTGCAGCCATGAAGTCTGAGACTTGATACAACCTGCCAGATATTCACATCACTTGAACATCCAAACTTATCTTCCCATTTAACATTACCTGACATTTTTAAGCATGTACAGGACTTCTGATGGCAAATGGGAATTCTTCACATCAAATTCAGTCAGATCTGCCTCTAGCAAAGAGGGAGGAGGCTCCTTCCTCTGCAGAGTTGGACATTCCTTCTTAATACGTAGAATCCTGCAAAGGAAAACATGAGTCAGGGAGCCAGGACATCCCCTCATTTGTCTTAATTACATAGTAAGTACTGAGTAAGTATATAGTGAATGATAAACACTCACCATCCCAAGTTACACATCATCAATCAGCTAAACCTTCCACCCTCCTGCCTTTCTTCAACCAAACCAGACAGCGCTGCACAAACCACCCCAGTTCAGCAAACTGCCCAGCTGATCCTCAGCTGAAAGGACTGGGAAAAGCCAGGAGCTATGGAAAAGTGCTCTGCTAAAGACTGGACCACAAATAAAAACTCCAAACCCGTCCTCCATGGCACAAATTCTCCCCTTCCCAAAAGCCCAAGTACCTTTTAGCCAGAGATAAAACTTTTGCCCGTTTGCGCATCCTCTGGCGAGGCACCGTGTTCCCAACCAGGGAGTTTGGAAGAGTTGTAACCTGGGAGCAAAGAAGGAAAACAGAAACAGTTACTAAAACCCAGAACAAACCAGAAAAACCAACCCAGTAGTTCCAGCTCTGCAAAGGTTCCAAGCCATCCCCCAGCCATTCAGAACCACAGAATGTGCTTAGTTGGGAGGGACCCACAAGGACCATCGAGTCCAACTCCTGGCCCTGCACAGGATCATCCCCAAGGGTCACCCCCTGTGCCCCAGAGGATCATCCAAACTCTCCTGGAGCTCTGGCAGCCTTGGGGCTGTGCCCACTGCCCTGGGGAGCCTGGTCAGTGCTCTGGGGGAGGAACCTTTTCCTGAGATCCAACCTAAGCCTCCCCTGAGGCCATCGGAACACGAACAGCGTGAAACGCTCCTGGAAGACCTCAGAGGACTGGAACAACATCTGCTTCAGGATCACTTCCTTTCTATGAAGCAAGCAAACTATATTTTGATTTTACTAAGCAACTGCTACAGTGGTAATGGATGGTAGGGGGGGAAAAAACCTTCAGCTGTGGTTCTCACTCAGGAACACTCAACATGAGGAAGAGGAGGAAGGCACTGAGCTCTCCTCCCTGTGACCAGCGACAGGACCCAGGGAATGGCTGGAGCTGTGTCAGGGCAGGGTCAGGTTGGATCTCAGCAAAAGGTTCTTCCCCCAGAAGGTGGTTGGCACTGACCAGGCTCCCCAGGGCAGTGGGTACAGCACCAAGGCTGCCAGAGCTCCAGGAGGGTTTGGACAAGGCTCTGAGGGACAGGGTGGGATTGTTGGGGTGTCTTTGCAGGGCCAGGGGTTGGGCTGGATGGTCCTTGTGGGTCCCTTCCAACAGAGGATATTCCATGATTCCACCTGGCAGTCTGTGTGCTGACAAACCAGGGCCACATTCACGTCTGAGCTGGTGACAAACCAAGGCTTTTTCCTACTTTTCCTGGTTCCCAAGTGCCACCCTCTGGAGAAACACATCAACTGCTACACCAAGAAAACCCCTCACTAGTTACTTCCAAAACATTCCTAGTTCTTCATTTGTTTCTCAAAGAGTTGAATCTCTGTAAAACATCTCTGTCACAAAATAAATCTTTAATTAGTTTGGAGGGGTTTTTTTTTAAGTAAAACCTTGGTATGTTATTGAAATTCCCCAAATTACAATCCACAGCAGTCAGTGTGTAATAGCCTCTGCCTTATTCAGGAATAAAAGTAAAAAGCAAAGTCTAAAACCCCAAAGCCAAAAATACCTGAAATGAATTTCCCATGTGGAATTCTAAGCATTCTTTACTTACGTGAGTTACATATTAACAGCTGTGTTAAAGAATATTAAAATTGTGAAGTTGCACATTAAAATTATGAGGAATATTAAAATTATGAAGTTGCACACACACAACTTCCCTCCACTGAGGGCTTTTTTGGCCAAGTTCTACATAAAAGCTGACCTGCAATGCAAGGTTCAGGGAGTAACCACCTCCTCCACAATGAGACAGAGCTCCAGAGCTGAATATTAAACCCAGCACAGTGTCTAATTATGTCCAGGTATTTGAATTCACCTCAACAAAGTGAATCAGGCAGAAGGCCATAGCAGCTCACAAGAGGAAATGTTCCTCAACACCCAGTGACTGGCAACCCAAGGTTCCTTTCCTGTACCTTATTTTTCTAGAGATGCAGGTTTCCAGTGCCCTGGCACTGGCAGTGCTCTCCTGGACTCAGCAGGTCATGGCACAGGGTACAGCCAGGACCCCCCCCAGCCACACTCTGCCTCTGGCCCCCCACAAAAGGGACCAGTCCCAGCCTGGCCTTGCAGCTTCCCAAGACTTCTGACTCTCCAGGACAGAGGGCAGGGAGATCATACCACAGTCAGAATTAAACAGCCTTGGTTTTTCTCCAGCCATTTGCACCCACCATCCTTCACTAAACAGAGGATTATAAATAAGCAACAAACATTTGGGGTTCTGAAAAGCACCACCTGAGGAAGAAGTAGCTTTCCAAAGTCAGGGATTATCAGTAGCATCACATATCTATCTGTCTATCTATATCTCATATCTATATGTGAGATACATATATTATATAGATATATCTGTTATAGATATATATCATATTGATAAAACAAGGGGGAATGGCTTTAAACTGAAAAACAGTGGATTTAGATTGGATACTGAGGAGAAATCCTTCTCTGTGAGGGTGGGGAGGCCTGGCACAGGTTGCCCAGAGAAGCTGTGGCTGCCCCATCCCTGGAAGTGTCCAAGGCCAGGTTGGATGGGGCTTGGAGCAACCTGGGCTAGTGGAAGGTGTCCCTGCCCATGGCAAGGGGTGGAGTGAGATGAGCTTTAAGGTCCATTCCAACCCAAACTACTCTGTGATTCCATGATATTTAAACAATCAGCTCCATACAGGAGTTAAGATATTCAGTGATTTATTACTACCCTCACTGGCTGCAAATATTCTTGAAAGAGCTAAAGTTTGGCCAGAAGGAGAAGCTCCTGCTGCTCCACCAGCAATTCAGGAAGCATTCCAGGGGTTCTGAAACATCCACAAAATCCCAGTGAAATTTTACAGGTTGAAGGCCTAAAGTATTACAGAGTCTACACCTCCTAGAGTGAATTTTGACCTCCCTTCCCTCCCCCTGTGCCAGATGCTCTCACCTTCCTCATGATCTTCCTCCCATAGAACATCACTTTGTCCCTCTTGCGAAACCTGTACTGGGGCACGTGGGGCTGAAGCTGTTCTGGAACAGAGAAGCATCACGTCAGAAACCACCTGCTGAGGGACAACACCTGAGCACAGCTTGGCAATCCTGCTGCCCTGGCTCCTGTCTGCTCAGCTGGCACCTCTCAGGGTCAGCACTGGGAGTTCAAACCAACCCAGGACACCTCAGTACCCAGCTCTGAGCAGCCAAGCCAGACCAAGGTAGAGCTGCTCTGGGGTTCTACCTCAGCACCAGAGGAGATAAAGGGCTCTCTCAACAGATACAAGGGTTAGGCAACTTTAATCTCACAAAGGAAACCTCTAATTCAATCATTTCTCATTACTGTAACAGTGAAATCACAGCAGGGCTGACATCATTTGCATAATTTACAGCTGACAATAAGGCTGATCCTGATCACACACTGGAGAAATAAAAACCTCCAGCACCCTGGATGTGACAGTTTTGGATTCTGGGTTCAGACCTGGGTAAGTGAATCAACAAAAGTTCTTCATCCTTTTAATGCTGTTTTCCTGCAAGAGCCACCCCTTCACAGCAAACAACTACCACAGATTATTACAAAAATACTCAAGATAGCCGGGAAAAGTGTTTTTAAAACTTACTTAGTTATCAAATACTTACTGGATTGTCTCAGTCTTCTGTACACAACAAACACAACAACTGCAATAAACAGCAGTGCCACTGCAGCTCCAATTGCAATTCCAGTCAGCTGGGAGGGAAGTTTAGGGGGAAAGAAGTTAATATTTTCAACTTTATAAATTACTGTGTACTTTTTGGAGGGCTGAGGCACACTGAGCTCAGTAGGATATCTAAAAGTCAAGCACGTTCATAAATACTTGATTTTTAATTCAAACCACATATGCAAGAAATTTAAGCTCTATCAGTGGCTCACATGCAAAATATTCCACATTTTTCTTCCCAAAGATCCGTGAGCTGATTAACTCAATGTACAGGAGATGAACAAGGGCCTGGAGTGACAGGACAAGGGGGAATGGCCTTAAGCTGAAGGAGGGCAGGGTTAGGTGGGATATTGGGAAGAAATTCTTCCCTGTGAAGGTGGTGAGGGGTTGGGACAGAATTCCCAGAGAAGCTGTAGCTGCCCCATCACTGGAAGTGTCCAAGGCCAGGTTGGATTTGGGGCTGGGAGCACCCTGGTCCAGTGGAAGGTGTCCCTGCCCATGGTAGGGGTGGGACTGGATGAGCTTTGAGATCTTTCCCAAACCATTCTGTGATTCTAAATAACAGGAATTAACTCCTGCCTCGTGCCCAGCGACAGCAAAGAAACAAACACTCAGCCTTTGACAATTCCTGGCAGTTCAGGAGAAGCTGCACACTCTGGATGCACAGCCAACCTCCAGCCATACTTTACCATAGTGGTGTGTATCCTGTCCTCCACAAACTGCAGCATGGGGGTTGCATCTCCTGGGATCACATCCTGGCACCAAAAGGAAGGTGAAATTAGTTTCCCACAACTGGCAAAGAGCCTCCATAAAACCATCTCAGTGCCTGGTCTGTCACATACCTTAAAACACAACTGGATTGTGTTTTTCAGCATCTTTCTTTGATTTTGCAAACACAAACATTCAGTGGAGAGGGGTTATTAGGGCAGTTTTGAGTTGGTGTCAGTTCAACACATTCTAAACAGCCCTAAACCAGGCAATAACTTTTTTTGGTGGTTTTAAGTTCTTCAGAGCAACAAGGATGAGAATGGAATGTAAAAGACTTCATGAGACTGAGAAAATAAGTCATAAATCAGCAGGTTAAAGTCATCATAAGAAGCAAATGATGCAAAAGCCCTGACCTCAGGTGGGCTGTCCTGGGACCTGTGCCCACCACTGCTTCTCAGGAATAAAACCTGGCAGTTAAAAGAACCTCACAAACGCCAATTTAAACTTAGGAGAAGGGGGGGAAAGGCAAAAAAAATACAACAAACAAGTGGTAAACAAACCCAGCAGAAGGAGATGTCCCCCTGCAACTCTTGAACCTGCCAAGTCCTTGAATTAAGCACTTCACACAGTTCTGGTAACAATTCCTGCCCCTGGTTCCAGACCTGGATGACATCTGAATTTAGCTTTGCCACCAAGAGAAAAATGAAGGGCACACAGAGTCATCAAACTGGTCTCTCATAAAATTAATTCCAGTTCTACAGCACAAATGAAACTCCTGCCTGACCAGTCACCTCTCACTGTGCTCACTTTGGCTTCTCAGGTTGCTTTAACACAGCACATGGACAATTTATCTTCCCAACATGAGTCAAACTCTATCACTATTCTTATCAGACTATTATTCATGGGATTGTAGCAGAAAGTCAGAAAAATTTGAAAAAATCAAAAGCTGAAAACGTGGTGGCAACAGATACAACACCTGGTGACACAGAGAGTTCTTGGTGTAAATCTATTGTGGTCACTTAATGTATTTCCCCTTGACAGTGTCAGGGACATGGACAGCTCTGCTGCTCTCCAGGCCTGTGGGATCTCAAATAACATCAAAAATAGTAATTGCCAACTGACACTCACAGTGCTGCTCCAGGAGGAGGAGAAACAAACCCACGAGCAGAAGAACAAAACCCCGCCGGGCCCAGAGCGAACCCTCAGGCCTCAGCGAGGGAAAGAAGAAATTCAGAGCTCCAAGAAACACTGAGAGGTTCTTGCAAGGTTTTTACCAGTGAAAACATGATATTCCCCACCCAGACCCGGGGGTGGATCTTTTCCAGCATTGCCAATCCTTCTGGAAAAGCAGAGGAAGCAAAGCAGACAAGGGGAGCTGTTGAGACAACTGGGACATGTCAGCAATTCCTGGGCCATGACAGCACCTGGGGCAGGTGTGAGGTCATGGCAGCTCCTCTCTGAGGAGGGCTGTGGCCAGCACCCAAATCCAAGGACTTCAAAGGTGCCTCACACAGCCCCAAACAATTCTCAAACCCAAAACACCTGTGGGATAACCCTGAAAAATCCCTCATCCCATCAGAAAATGGAGCAAAGACCTGCTTAAAGGATGGATTAGCACAAAGAGCTTTTCTCTGCTTCTTGGTGTTGGAGTTTCCTTAAGAAACAGAGACTTAACAGCACTCAGCACCAACATGCAGCCTCATAGCTAATGCTCACACCCATCCAGAGTCCAGGCACAAACACTCAGCTCTGCTGAGAGTCCAGCAACATCTCCTTGCAGTCCAAGGCAAACACTGAGACATTCCGTGTCCTGGGAGGGGTGGGAGAAGCTTATCAGCACTGAAAGCAAGGCCTTAAAATTGGGACTGCCCAAAACATCAGACTTCCTCCTTGCTCTGAAGCACCCAGGGTCACATGCCTTGTTTTGACTACAGAGACTGGAGTTTCACAAAACATTTTGAAGTGCCCAGGAGTAGGTTGTCTGTGTTTTTTAGTTCTGAGAACCAAAATAGAATAGAATAGAAGAACTATTTTGTTTTTCACGACTGTGAAAAGCACCACATGCCTTGTTGGACCACGAGTTTCCAATTTATGGTTAAGAACAAATGCAAGGAGAGCAGGCTGCCAGAATTCTGCAATTCTCCCTTCTTTAGGCTAAACCCATACAAAACAAAAGGTATTTAAACCATAGCATTGTGCAAACAGTTTAAAATAAAAAGCAGACTATGAATGGTTTGTAGCAAATAAAAAAAAAGTTTAAAATAATAAACATACAGATAAATGGGACCAATCCTGAAAAGTCTGAAAGGATAAAACTCTTGGAAGGAAAGGTTCCTTCAAAGTAAAAGCACCTAAAGGCATTGCCCAAATGTTATCAAATTAGGTACAGCACCTTTCAGCTGCTGGAAACACTCCCAGGGAAATAAATATGCCAAAAAACAAGAGCAAAGCAAAGTACCTCAAGGATGGTGCTGTTGTCTTCTTCAACCATGTCTGGAGGCACAGCAGGAGCAAAAGCAAAACCAAAAAGAGAAGACTGAGTTAAGAGATGATCACACTCTCTGATCCAAGTTCTTGAACAATACAAGAACACAAGGGGAACAATAACTTTTTAACTTTATCATCCCTTTGTCCTGAGCAACAAAACCCAGCAGGGAAGTGCTGGGAGACAGGGCTGCGTCTCCTAAAGAAACTCCTCCACAGCCACAGGTATTCACGCACAGGACATCCCGGGTGCCCACAGCCCGGTGGCACAGCCAGAGCCACCTCGGGCTCCAAGGAACAGGGAACACCGGGATGGCACTGCCCGGGGCACACCGACACTGTGCGGGGCGGCCGGGCAGGACCGGGCTGCGGGGCAGGGCAGCACCGGGGCACCCTCCGGGTCAACCCGGGTAACCCTCCTGGTCAGCTCCGGTCAGCCCGGGTTACTGTCCTGGTTACTCACGGGCCAGCCCCGGGTCACCCTCCTGGTCAGCTCTGGCCGGACCCGGGTCACTCTCATGGTCACCGCCTGGCCAGTCCCGGGTAACCCCCCGGGACAGCCCCGGGTTACCCTGGTCATCCTCCTGATCAGCCCCGGGTCACCCTCCTGGTCAGCTCCGGCCAGACCCGGGTTACTCTCCTGGTCACCCCCTGGCCGGTCCTGGGTCACCGTCCTGGTCACTCCCCGGCCGAACCCGGGTCAACCCCCGGGTCATCCTGCGGGTCAGTCCCGGGTTACCCTCCTGGGCAGCCCCGGGTCGCCCTCCCCTGCCCTGTCCCGTCTCGCCCAGTCACACCTCAGAACACGAGAGAGAAACAACAACCCCCCCTTCCCCGGACACCGCGAGCCGGCGCCGCGGGGGCACCGCGGGGCGACGCCCGCAAGGCCTCGGCTCCAGCACGCGCTCCTCGCGAGCCCGGCCCCTGGCACGCCCTCACCTTTGCCGCAAAAAAAAAAAAAAAGGCCCTTTTTGCCCCCCTCCAGCTCTGCTCCAGCCGCAGTCCCCGCATCCCGTTCCGCTCGCCGACTCCCGAACCGGCTCCCGGCTCTCGCCGCTCCGGGCGGGGCCCGAAGGGCGGCGGGGCAGCACTCCCGCCGCCGCCGCCAGGGGGCGCCCCGCCCGGCCCAGCCCCGCCGGCTGATTGGCGGGAAAGCCGGCTCGCCAGGCATCGCCACGCCCGCGGACTCGCGCGATGAATTGGACCGAACAGTGCGGGGGAGCATCGCGCTGCGGATTGGCTGGTGTTTGTCAGCCCATGGGAGCGGCGCGGTTTCGCGCGTGGTGGGGAGGACGGGAGGCGGACGGGCCGCTCGGGCGAGAGAGGAGGGACTGGCTCCGCCGAGCCCGGGGCTTCAGCGGAACCGGCTCCGTGAACCGCTCGAAGTGCCTCGCAGGGAGTGGCTGGCCGGGGAGCCCTCTGGTGCCTCAGTGTATCGCCCGGCTCGGGAGAGTCTAGGTGCCCTGAGGGACCGGCTCGCCTGAGTCCCCCGCTAAAGCCCTCAGGAGCGGCTCTGGCTCGCTTGAGCGCTTGAAGAGTGCCCTCAGGGAGCGGCCTCGTCTCCAGTGACCAGCTTCGTCCTCGCTGAGCCTCGATACCCGCAAGGCAGCGGCCGGTGCCCGGCCATGGGCTTTGTCTGTCCCAGCTGGCCCGGGGCTGGTGGCGCGGCGCGCGCCTGTCTCCGTTCACCAGCAAGCGCGGCCCGCGGAGCTTCAACAAGGGCCGCGGCGCCAAGAAGCTGGGCGTGCTCACCAGCAACAAGAAGTTCCTCCTCATCAAGGAGATGGTGCCCGAGTTCATCGTGCCCGACCTGACGGGCTTCAAGCTGCGGCCCTACGTGTCGTACCGCGCCCCTGAGGGCTCCGAGCCGCCCGCCACGGCCAAGCAGCTCTTCGACGAGCTGGTGGCTCCGCGCATCGAGAAGGACGTGAAGGACGGCACGTTCGACCCAGACAACCTGGAGAAGTACGGCTTCGAGCCCACACAGGAGGGGAAGCTCTTCCAGCTCTTCCCCAAGAACTACGTGCGGTAGGGAACGAGCAGCGCCCTCGGCGGGGGCGAGGCATGACCGGCACTCGCAGGACTGGCTCTGGCACCGGACATTAAAGCAGATCCTTCCACCTTGTCCCTCTGCAATGTGTGATTTAAATCCTGGGGGAAACTGGCCGTTCATTCCACACAGTTGTGCCTGGAGAGCACAGCCCTCCCGGGAGGCTCTCGGGGTGAGGGGCCTGTGAGGTTTCTAAAGACAAAGTACTGCAAAGTTTAATTAAACTCTTAAGAGTTAAATTAAGGATGAAAACGTTCACTCTGGGAGACGGGAGGCATGTTCAGTGTGTGCTCTGAGCATCCACTCTGAGTCCTGAAGGTGGTGTCTGCAAACCCCCATATTTTCGGGGCTGGGGAGGGCCAGGAGGGGTTGATGCTGTTCTGGCTCCCAGGTCCAAGTCCTGCAGCCCCAAATCCTCACACAAGTCAGTGCAGGGGCACAGGGTGTGGGATCACCCACAGTGGGGGAAGGGAAGGCACAGCTTTTCTTACTCCAGTTAAAATCTGCATTTTTCACTTCCTGTGAAGCTCATCAGAGTAACAGTTATACACAGGGGGTGGTTTTCTGCCTTCAGCTTCGGGTGCAGCACCTCAGCCCTTCCTTTCAGAGGCTTTCCAGCCAGGACACTTTGCAGGTGGAGGGGTTGGAGAACGGGGCAATGCAAAGCTGGGGAGCAGCAGATCCTGTGCTCCTTCACACCAGTTCCAGCTTGGTCTTCACCACGTCACTGCCCCCACACCCCATGTGAAGGCAGATTGTAACTGGAGTCTCCTCTTTTTTCTGAGCAAAGCAAGGACTGGCCTAAAGCCTAAACCAGTGCCCCAGTCTGGCCTCAGTGACAGCACTCCAGCTTTGCTGCCCTCAGGCTGTTTCCTCTCCATCTCACAGGGCAATAAAAAGCGTTACAAGCTTTAAAACAGAGGTACAAGGACACACCCTCGATGTTCCCAGGAAACTGGCTTGTCTGCTCTGACTCCCAAAGAACATTCACCAAGTGCCCTCCAAGCCTCAGCCAAGTTCCTTTGATTTTTAAACCTCAAAACAACCAAGAAAAATAAATCACTTATATTGGCTTTATTTTAGAAACATCCAAAAATAGCATGTTTTGGTTTGGTTTTTTTTAAGAAAAGCTCTTGTTTGCAGTACTAATATGAATCTTCATGTAACAGTGCTCAGTGTTTTTCTAAAATACACACTCGCCCCTGAGCAGGGGGTCTCAGAGCAGTCAAGTTCTCATCTGGATCTCATTTGGATGCAGCACTGTTACACAGAGATCTGTTGCTGGTGTTTCTTTTCCCCCAGACAACTCATCCTTTAGGACATTCAAAGACAAACCACCCAAGCTAAGACTTACCTAGTTTAAGCTGGTTTTTTGTTTCTAGGGAGAGATAAAATGCTCCAGAAAGGGTGTTTTGCTGATACTTCACAGTGAAAAAAGAAAGCTAATGGAGCAACCATGAGAAATCCTGCAGCCATTCCTGGAGGTAGTTTGGGCAATGCTGTTCAGGTTTTGGTTTCTGTACGTATTTTGAACTTAAAAAGATGTCAGGAAACACCACTTAGACTGTGTGGAGGTTTTGATCTTAAAGCTGTTCACCTTTAAAAAACTGAAAGATCTTGACTTTGGACCTAAATGTGGAGAGCAGAAAACATGAGCTGGATACAAGAGGCTGTGGGGGGCAGTTGAGTGGCACTAAATGAGGGCAGGGTCACTACAGGGTTTATCTAAACCAGGGAGGGATGAGGGAAACTGCCAGCAGGGGAGGAGTGATGGGAAATGGTGGAGGTGCAGCAGGATCCTCACAAGAAAGGCCCTGCTCACCACAACACTTCCATCTGCACCTCCTGAACCAGAATGGCTGTTAAAAATCTCTCCAAGCACACTGCACTGTGCCTGGCCTGCCTGAGCTCTTCTCAAGGGACTGGTTTACACATCAGCCTCTGCTCAGGGGCTTTCCCAAGACATTCCGGGAATGTTCTGATCACATGCTGGGTCTACTCATAGCAGCACAGTCTGGTTTGTGATGGAAGGAGGAGAACAGGCTTAACAGATCAATGTGAAATGCAAACCAGCTTTGAAAGGATCCCAATCTGAGGTACAAAGCCTGTGAGAGGAGGGCTGTCCCACCTGGAACCAGGACATTAAGGGAAAAACTAAATAAAGCTGTCTGTGCTTGACCACAGGCCTCTAAGCAAAGGGTTTCCCCTGTGCTGAAAATAAAACACTGGGAATTCCATCAGTGTGGGCCTTGAAGGACTCCCAAGCTCAGCAATAAAACTGGGAAGGCCCAACAGGAGTTAGGCAGGGTGACAAGTTCAGCTGTCACTCTCAGTTCAGTTTTCCTGCCCCTCTCCCTTGGGACTGGTCAGTGCAAACTTTCAGCTGTTCTTCTGGATGGAGATCCAGGACTTGGCACGTCAGGAGTGCTCCCCAGGCTCATCTCCCACCTCCAGACATGGAGGATGTTGTCGTAGAAGGAGCAAGTGGCCACGATGCTCGTCTCCTTGGGGCTGTCTGGGGACCTGGCCAAGCCCCCACTGCTGTCCAGGCCTGTTCCATTGGGGCTCCTGGCTCCAGGCTCAGGGCCACTGGCTGAGCCGGGCTCTGGGCCTCCAGCCAGGTCTAAACTTCCCTTTAAGGCAGAGCCCCTGCCCAGGCCAGGTTCCCCACCCGGCCTGGGAGCTGCCCCCACTCCGAATGGCACGGCCGGGCCTTCGCTCTCCTCATCCAGGATCACATCAAAAGTAGCTGTAGGAGACTCATAAATTATCTTCAGGTTTTGGACCTGCAAATTCAGCCTCTCATCTCCTTCCTCTGCTCCCGGGAGCTCCTCTGAAGGCTGGCACATGGCAGCAGGGTCCTGTGCTGCAGGCAAGGAATCCCTGGGACACAGCCTGGACCAGTCAGCCCCGTAGGCCAGGGAATTGTGCAGGACATAGGATGACAGGATGGCACATT